TTTATGACATTTCGTTCAACCATCTCATCATACATTCATCAAGATGAAAAGACTTTAGATTTTCTAAGTCCAAATATATACTTAGTGTGACTCGTATTTCATCAAACGCAACCTAAGTCACTTCATTCCTATGCCAAATCACATTTAACCAAAGTTTCTAATAGATAAAAGGCTTAATTACCAACACTTTCATTCCGATTTCTTTTCCATCCTTTATTGGAGCATCTTTTAACTTATTCAAATTTCTGTATATTATCTTTTTCTTATTTTAATTACTCTTTTAAGTTAAGTCATTAACTTAAAATGATTTAAAAGTCATAGAACTTAGTAATTCGTTGAATTACTTAAGCAATAATCTCCCAAATCAAAAGATCACATCCTTTTCTAAATTACTTAGAATCAAGTGTTTAGACACTTCTATCTAGTGTAATTTTATTTGATTTTCTTATGCAATGAAAATTTGTGTCAAACTATAGTTTAACTTATTCCATGCCTAAGCACTAAGTCATGAAAATTAGTTTTCATTCACCCTAGTGTTCACTAAGTCCTAGAAACCTAAACCTTACCATGAATTCCAATCAACTTAGCATTGAAACGCACAGTTTCACATTCATGTAGGCACCACCACAACAAATGCAAATATACCAATTTCATTTTCAACCACAACATTTTTTAAAACCTAAGAAAGTGAAGAATTCGTAAGAATTTTCAACTATACATAACATTTGTAGCTTCACAAAGTATATTCCTTACTATCCTTTCAAACCCAAGTAATATGAAAGTTTCCACTGTCACCTTAAAGAGCCACTCAGCCAAGTGAGGAAGAAGCATTTCACGTCCGATTCAGTTTGACTTGTACTTCACATCTCTTTGGGTGAAACCGGCAATTGTCGCAAGTTTCGCATGTGGGTTCGTAATTTGATCGTCCAAAGTCTTTCTATGTGTGAGAGGTACTGTTGCATTCATTTTTCAAATGAAGTTAATCATACAGAAATTTGAAAACAGTTGTTGTTCACGCAGACAGGGTCCAGGTTTGCAGTACTTAACATATTTTCGTTTGATCGTCCAGGTTTGATCGCCACTAGTGCAAAAAGCACAGTTTCGGGGTACTTACGTGTTTTAAACCGAAGTGGGTGAAACAATATTCAAATGTTGCTTAAGAGGATGCTTTAAAAAGGTGTTACTATGAGTATTCCAAAAATTCGCATGTCAGTTTACTCCACTACAGAAATCAGAAAAACACAAAAATGTACACCGAGGATGCAGAAAACTTATTTCCAGGGTGTACTTAGCATTTTATGTTGAGTTTGATAGCCTCCGAAGCCTTCACAGTCCAAAAGTGCATTTTATGTTGTATAAAGAGTTGGGGTCAAATGGCAAAATAGAGAGCGTGTGTGAAGGAAATTTCATATTATCCCCTACTTACAATTTATGATTCAGGGTCCTATCAGTGATCCAAAAAGTGCGTTGGAAAGCTTGTGATGTGTATATTGTGGAAATTCTATTGAATGCACCATTCATGGAAGATCAGAGTTAGAAAATGGAAAGAACAGTGACGACACTTATGGAAAACCAAATGCACAAATCCAACAACATGAAGATGATGTCCAGACCTTCAAACATTCCCAAATCAGTCCTCAATCTGAGTGAAAGTTCCTCCAATGCAGGGATGAGACAGAGAAGAACATGAGTTAGCTTAGAGAGAAGTTAGAGAGTTCGAAATCCTTAGGGAAAGTTTTGAAATGCACTAAATGGATGGGTTCTCTCTTTGAAGTCCAAGGCCTTAATTGCATAATTTGGTAAATTTTGATGAATGACGTGGTTGTGGGTTTTTCAATTCAGCCCCTTCCTACTACCCCTTTGGGTAAAGTCCCAATAACAGGGAATAACTTGATTTCTAGAGGAATTCGTATGAAAATACATTTCAATATTTTATAAGTATGTTGAATAAAATATGATGGATAGTGTTAGCATCATTTTTGACATAATAATTACTTAATACAATTAGACGGTGTTAATATACTTTTAGTGAAAATAGTTCACTAAATCAGACAACCGAGTCTAGCTATATTAAGATTAACAAAATCATAATATAAATATGAAACATGAGTGAATTATTTAAAAGTATTAATCCTATAATTATTTCACGTGTACATATTTTCTAGAAAATATCCCACATAAACAATGAAAACAATTAATTAGAAATGTGTTTTTCTAGAATAAGTACTTTATATAGACAAAATATAGACACATTTGGGGTTAGCTTATAAAATCATACAAGTTTTTAAATAAACATATGTTAGATATATGAGCACTACAGTAAATAGTTTTATGAGCATAAATAACTCACTTTAATAAAAAAATCAATTTTACTTAAAAAGAGTATGGTTAAAAGGATTTATTGTAATATTTTTACAAGAGTCAAATATATAAATATTGACTATATAATTAGGGAATTTAAATAATTATTCTTAATTCGGTAAATACTTATTCTCTTAAATTTAAAAGTAGAAATTTATATTTTTTTTAATTACAAATTTGCTCGCTAAACAAATAACAATTTTTAAAAACTTATGTCTATGAGTTTTTTAGAAAAATGATAGTTTATTTAATATCAATTATAGAGAGAAAAAAATATGTGTAAGTAAAATGACATAACATGTCTTATCCATTATAATAAATTGAGATAATTCTCAAAGCTTCAAAAGTCTTATTTTCATAATTTTTATAGAAACATAATTATTATTTATACCAATGCTCTTTCTTAATTAGAATGTAAAGATGGAGACGTTACATATTCGATTGACCAACCAGTACCAAAAACATCTTAGATTTTTATATATATATAGAGAGAGAGAGAGAGAGAGAAAAAAGGTTTTGGTTAAAAGTCATTATGATTTGCATTCGAACTTTCAATGAATTGAAGTAAAATTATGGAAACTTTGTGGAATTAGGTGCAATATATGACGTGAGAAATTGAAGGTCTAGGGGACGTTCATAACCAATTTTCTAACAAGAAATTAAATTTTGATAAGGCTTTGAACAAGGATAAAGCTAACACTTATTGCATGAATTTACAAATTTTAAAGATTGACTTAACTAGATTTTTATGAGATTTCAAAGCTAAAAGGGGATAGGCATGTGTGTAAAGGAGAATACTCATTTAAAATATTCACGTTTTGCCAATACAAAAAGAATTGTCATATTTTCTAACAAAGATAAGATTTGGTCAAACTTAAAAGACTAAAGGTTAAAAGATGAGCTCCAAATCAAATTGAAAGCAATGTATGAGAGGCAGAGGGAAGGAGAAACATGCAAGAAAAGTGAACAAATTTGGAATCTTGAAAGATAACTTCGGAAGAAAAAAAGACCTTGAATTAGATAAAAACAATTATGAATTTTGATTAGAAAGCTGAACAGAGGAAAAGATAAGGTTATTTCCTTCCACTTGATCATATTACGTGTAGAAATAGATAAGGATGCAAGGAAATTTCGTGGATTTAAGAAAACTTTTCAATATACATATAAAAAAGGGTGTTTTTATAATTTTCTAAAAATTCAAAGACTACACTGTAATATTTCAAAATTGAAGGAACTATTTTGTAAAAAAACTGAGAAAAAATTTAGAAAATAAGGTTATTACTTATATTAATTATATAAATTCATTTCAAGAAAATTTTAGTAAAAATTGGTCAAAACTAAGTTTTTAATCTAACCATAATTTTGCTATTATTTCACCATTAAAAACAGTTTTTTTTATGTATGCTATCATGATTATAAAGGAAGTTAAGCAGCGTATTTAATATTTTAGATAAAGAACATTATAATATGAATAATGAAAGTGTTTCCAATATTTTGAGATGTATTATTGTTATTACACTATTTTTAAAGTGAAAGTACAAATAAATTAAGCAGAAAATTGCAAAAGTTATATGAAAAATGAACGTTGATAACGAGTCTTTCTAACACAAAGAATGGTTGAAAGGTATTGTGAATATAAATTTCACCTAGATTGTGGATGGAAAGGCTCGTGATTTTGAAGTTCAAATATCTTAAAAGACTAAAGGTTGAAAATTTGTTGGTTGAGTAATACTCAAGTACAAGCAAAGAAGTTAAGAGTATTGGTTCGATTTTACGACCATAAGGAATAGTTAACACACAGTCAATCAAGAGATCAAGCCTTGTTAACTCTTGTTATCATAGCAAATCACTTAACTATCATGATTTGCACTTAGGCTACCATGATAATGTATTTTGTGGGGGCACTATCCAAACTGTGGATACAAAACTTTCAATCGTTCAATCATGAAACATAAATAATTAATCATTTCAAGAAGGAAAGTTTAAAAGAAAAGTTTCAAGAAAAATATCTAAGCACGTTATGTATATTAGTTCTGTTTAATTTATTGATTGTATTTTTAAAGTTTTTTAGTTTATTCATTATGAACCAATTTATGAAATGTTATTCGCCTTTTATGTTTTTATTGGTTTTATCACATAAATTCACGAGAACAAATGAATGAGAAACTAATCTGAGCTGAGAATCCTAAAGAAGACATAAGGAGGATAGGCTTCATTTGTCTTTTGATAACAGTAGAGTTCTATTCCTTATTTAGGTACTTTCTATTTCTTTTCCATTTTATGCTTGGAAAAAGAAAACTTGAGTTGTAATAATGATAAATCAGTAATTGTAAGATATAATATAAAGTTTTAGTTGTGGATAGCTTAACACTTTTGTAAGCTGAATTAGCTATAGTATTTCATTAAAATTTGATGGTTGAGGATAGTCTCAAACTCACCGTATCGAAACTATAAACAAATAGAACAAAATACAATTTACAACTGCAAATAACGTTTTATCGAGGAGTCTCTATCAAGTAAGGTAAGATATTGTCGCTTGATAACTCTACCTAACAACCTTCAGTTGCCCATTTCATGTAATTATTAGCTTCCAAGCACTTAGTCGTTGATATCTAGTCAACTAAAATGCAGTAGTTCTGAGAATACCGAGCATAAATATTCAGTGTAACGATGACTTTGAACTGCAATCCACAAATGCATGCTACATGATCTTACACCATGTTATATAACCCCTCAAACGCTAACACATCCATGTCACCTCATTTGGAAGTTTAGACTAGCATCAGCAACATACTATTGATACTTTACAATAAAAGATGAATCCCTCAAAATGGAAGATATTTGATACGTAACCCCAAATACAAATATACAGTACACCACAATTAGATGATAAACAATTGTACATTATCATAACTAATTTGATTGGTCGTCTATCATGTATTTGTATCCTCCTTTTTTTTTTCATGATTAAATTACAAGCTCCTGGAGCAGTCTGCAAAAATAGGCCTGCAATTTCTTTGATACTGAGCGTGAAGAGTTCAGGAGGAGAATCGCATCTTCAAGTTACAAGCATCTGGAACATCCATGCATGCAATAGCAATTTTTTGGTTGGTGATTCTATAGTCGAAAAGAAGCAGAACATCTTTCTCATCATGCTTCACCTTTATGAAAATGAGTTGACTCTTGAATCCTTGAGGCTCTATATAACCCAGTATAAAATTTTGAGACATAAGTATTATTGTAAAACAAAAGAAGAAAACACGAGTGAAAAACCATCACAACATTCATTAAACATGCACATTACGAACCAGCCGTTTGAAGGATCTGTTGTATGAAGTTTTCTTTGAATTTTCAGGATCTGGTTTGGCACGATCCAGAGCCTAAAAAACAAGTGTAGATTTTGTTACAAGTTATGCTGTGAACACGTCAGGAAATCATTGCACAGAAAATGGCCAACGGATTTATGTCAGACAAAAAGCCAATTAATCAGAAACACGGATATTGATTATCATGGGCCAATGTACCAGAATAAGTTCACTTCTACAATTTAAATACTTTAATGGACAAAATATAACATGTGGGATTTTAGTTGGGCCCTAGGCTGCCAATTAAATCCACCAACTAGGTGCATTTCTTTGCGACAACCAAAAGCAGTCTTAGGACGATAAATTATAAAAGAGAACGGGGAACTACCTCTACACATGAAAAAAATTTCAATAATGCATAAACTTGAGCATTAATACAAATACCATTTCATAATCAAGCACATTCAAAGGTGAGGTACTATAAAAAAAATTTACTATGAGATACCACAAAAAGTTTACTCAAACAAGTAAATAAAAGATTACCTGAATCAGTGACTCCACACGACGCCGCATACGTGTGTGCATAAATCCTTCCGAGCACTGTTACAAATATGCATTATGTAGATTGGCATCACCCATCATTTATGCAGGTTTATAGTACAGCCAAGTGTATAATAGTATTAGCATAAGCTTCTAACTCTTTCTACTACAAATTAATGCCCCACTTACGCAATATGTCTCCTTTCATCTGTTCCATAGACAAAACTTATCCAGAAAGTGTTCAAATCCATATTAACAAACTCCAAATCACTATACTCTACCAACACTTTCTGCCAGGGCCTCTCTTGTGGTTTTTAAATAAAAATGATACTATAAATAATTTAAATTATCTATAAAATTATTTACAAATTAGTTTTTGCAAACCAAGAAAATATTATTTTAGTTTTATTTAAGATTGAATGAAATCCTTTACATGTAAATATAGAGTAAAATAACTATTCTTTTACTTGTCATTTCCTAACATTCTTCCCTAAGCACATGACAGATTGGGTCCGTGGTTAGCATCTACTAATTTATCTATATGCGATATTTAAAAGCAATACATGCCAGGAAATGCATGAACATTTCAGACTGGTATTTTTTTTTTAATTAAGTCATAAACTTAGAGATTTAATTCTTTATACTTGTATATGAAAATATGCCGGTTGATAAACTTCACTCATTTAAGTCAAGATTAATAGAATACACAGAATGTTGATCGATAAGGTTGAATCACATTATAACAAAAATATAATCAAAATAAATTTGATCGATAAGGTTGATTTCTTTTGTCTTTTCATGGTGATAAAACCAATCATGTAATTTGAAATTATTTCTAAAATTTTACACTTACTGTGCTCCTATCTTATTGTTTTTGACCAAGCTAAATAACATCATATGATCCATGTAGCCAGGCTCACTTGATGGAATAAGACTTTTGTTATTTAATAAGCACCCATCTAGAGAACAATTTAAACATAATAGCTTTTCAAATTGACTTCTACATACGTAAGATTGAGTAACTCACAAAACATTGAAAGTATCAATGTAGCAAGAAAGGAAATGTTTATAAAATGAAAATGCACCCTTTCAATTTAACAATGTTGATGGCCACATTTGTTATGCTTTTGAGAAAATAAGATAAAATTCCACATTATCATTAAGGACAAAAAATGCTGAATTTAGAAAAATCAAGGACTAAAATAATTAAAGAGACTAAAATCAATCTTGCAAAAATGTAAGGATCAAAAACATATTTAAGCTTTTAATAACTGATACCATATTAATATAAATGCTCAAAAATTAAAATACAAAACAACTCAATACATGATATATTCATAATAACAATAAAAAGTCAAATAAACACTGGAATGTGGCTGGAAACAAAAAAAGAATGGGCCAGAACTAAGAGAGAAAGTCACAATTGCAAAAAAAAGGGATGTAATCACCAGAAAAGCATCAAAAGACTAGAATAGAAGACTTCTGACTGCAGTGGTGGGTGTCCTTAGTTTAGTGATGTGGGTGTTTCGTAACACAATGGAAAACCAATAAAGGCCCTAATTTTCATTGAAGGTCTGAAAGGGGTGAAATCTCATCTACACCAACGACGTTGCCCTTCCCTTCAACCTTTCAGATCTGTGGTAGGTTTGCTCATTTTTGCTTCCTACAGCCGCTGTTTGGCATTTTTGACACTGTTCACATCAGTTTCTCTCATCTCTATGTTGACCCACGGCCCAGCCTACACCCATAAAGGCTAAAACTCCAGTTTTGCTAGTTCTAAGCCTACAGCATCAGTTGTGCCTTCATCTTCTAATCCTCTTCCTGCCTACAGTGACTTCCTTCAATGGTACTATGGCCAATGGGTCTCAAATACAAACTCAGGGTCTGGGTAATGTTCATTCACTTCTATCACTATCCATTGATAATGTCTTTTATGTTATTGGGTCTCCCTTTAATTTGTTATCCATTAAATGTCTAACTTGTTCTTTAGATTGTGTCATATCCTTTTCTAAACACTACTGTTTTGCAGTACTAGTGTTTTGGACGAATGATTGGTGATTTGAGTCACACAAGGACTTTATCAACCATGTCCCCCTGCTCATGTTTGTTAGGTCATCCCAATCTTCAAAAATGACAGCAAATGGTACTAAGTCATTCCAAGCAATCCTCTTTGTCTTGTGAGTCATGTCAATTAAGCAAGCATATATTCATTTCCTTTTTCTAGTCATATTTATAGTCAAGGCTGTCAAGCTTTGTCTCCTATTTTTGGTTCATTCTAATATTTAGGGTCTAAGTCATCTACCTTAAGATTTAGATATTTTGATACCTTTGTTGATGATTATTCCCATTGCACTAGGTTATATTTAATGAAAAAATTGATCATAGATGTTTTCTATATTTTAATCTTTTTACTATTAAATTCAAAATCAATTTGGTGTTACTATTCACATTATTGTGCATAGTGATAATACTCATGAATATTTGTCTCATACTTTCCAAAATTTTATGACTTCTAATGGCAATCTTTATCAAACTTGTTGAGCTCATACCCCTCAACAAAATTAAATTGTTTAAAGGAAACATAGACATTCTTCTTCATGGTAATAGTCCTCTTCGTTGAGCGATGTTATCCTTATACTTATTACCTTATTAATCAGATGTCTTCTTTTATCCTTAACAACCAAGTACTACACTCTATCATGCTTTTTTATTAGTCTATACAGTCTTTCCTATGTATTTGGATCCACTTGTTTTGTTCATAATCTTAGTCTAGGGATTGACAACTGTCTTTCTGGGTTACATCGATCTCAAAAAGATTATGTTTATTACTCTTCAATTCTTCATCACTACCTCATCTTGGCTAATGTCACTTTCTTTGAGTCGATTCCGTTTTTTGAGTCTTTTCCTTCTTCACCTTTTGAGTTTGTCACACTTTCCTCATTTCTTCCTTTTGTTCTTGTTATTTTATAACCACCAAAGACACCATCTCCTCCTAATAATCCTCTTCAGCATCTTTTACAAGGTAGACCACAAATAGAATCATACCTCCTCTTTGCCACCACTGGATGAGACTTCTAACTTACCAACGGCACCAACTCCCTCACCTCCTTTGGCCTTGCCTCCTTAGCCTAATCTTTCTATTACTCTTCAAAAAGATATAGACTCCATTCATAATCTTTCACCTCATTATGTCGCTTTAACATGTAGCTTGTCTCCTTTCCATTATACTTGTCTTTCCACTTTGTTATGGAAGTGTTATGGAAGGCTTTAGAAAAGAAAAGGGTCCGTGTAGCATATATTCAAGCTATACAAGACATGTATGAGGAGGTAACTACATGTGTGAAAATTTTTGGAAGCGTATCTAAGGATTTCCCAATTGGAATACGTTTACATCAAGGTTTCGCTTTGAGCCCTTAGTTGTTTAATCTTATTTTAGATTTACTTACAAATGACATACAAAAGATTATTACTCAATACATGTTATTTGCAGATGGTATAATGTTAGTCAAGGATTTGAAAGAAAAGATTAATGTTAAACTTGACTTATGAAGGGAGACTTTAGAATCTAAGAGTTTTTACTTGAGTAAAAGACGAAATACATGCATTGTAGGTTTAGCAAAAAACAGGATGAGGTTCATGCATTGAAAGTTAAACTTGGAGATGATATTATACCACAAGTTTCCAATTTCAGGTGCTTGGGATCAATTATACAAAATGATGAAAATAATTAATGAAAATGTTACTAACAAAATACAAGCTAGGTTGTTAAAACGAGAAGGCATAAAGAGTTATTCGTGACCGTAAAGTACCTATTAAGCTGAGAGAAGTTTTACCATATTACAATATGACTAGCTATCCTATATGATAGTGAATGTTGAGCCTAAAAGAAACATGAGAAAAAAGTGGAAGTGACAGAAAGGAAAATGTTAAAGTGAATGAGTGGACACACGAGAAATGATAAGATACAAATTGATAGTATACAAGAGAATATTGGAGGAGCACCTATAATAGAAAACATAACTGAAAATTGTCTAAGGTGACCGGTCATGTGCAGAGAAAACCTTTGGAGGAGTCAGCAAGGAGACTAGATTGCAAAACTCTTAGTTTGGTAAAGAGGGATCGAGGGGAATCCAAAAAAACTTTAGACAAAATTATTCAAAGAAACCTTATTAACCAAATATTTGAAATTTTGATTTTTGACGAGCTTATTGGCTTCGTGTGATCAGTGTAACCGACCTCACCTAGTGAGATAAGCCTTGGTTGTTGTTATTGTATAATAATAGGGAAATTTATCTTTGAAATTATGTTAATTAGGTAACTAAATTTTTTTTGTAATTATTATTATTACCAATATAAATATATGTTTAGATGTGTAGTTGAGACACATGAATTAACCACATGTTCTCTCACTTTTCTCTCTTTCAACACATTATATAATTGGATACCCTAATTAACTTCATCCTAAGCTTCAATCTTTTAAGATCTACTTACAAGAACACAAACAGAATTTTTTTAATGGTACTTAGGCAAAGACGATAGTTTAAATCCCTAGCTAAATAATGCAAAATAATCATGAATTCCAAAGATGTTAATATCTTCTTTATGATAGATAATCAAGCTCTGCATTTTAATTGTCATGCCTTAATACAGAATACATGAAGTAATGTCTTATTTATTTATGCAACTGAAGATATGTGGTTCAAAGAAACTCACACCTTAACATGATAACTGACATAGGCGTGAAAAGTTGATAGATTCCATACTGTACGATCCAATTTCTGGCCTTCAACATGACGAGGGAAGATAACTGCAGTGTTGAGCATATTACATTGCAGTGATACAGCAAAAAATCAAATAAAATGTACATTGTGACACTTTCTCAAACACTAACCAAATGTTACAAAGCCTGCATTTGCAGATAATGCATCAGGGGAAACTCCTTTCAGTTCCATTGGAGGAGTAAGAGACCATGAGCAAGGAGGAGTATTATTAAGTCCAGCTGTACGCCTGGCTTCGACAAATTCCTAAATTATAATAAAGCTTGAAAGTTGAAACAATTAAACCACCTAAAAAGGAGCAAAGCACAACACAAGAATGGTTTGCAAGATGCAACAAAAATGACACTCTATCTCTCTCCCTACTCTCTTTCATTCCAATAACCCTTGTGAGATATGTGAATTACCCTAGAAACCATACCTGCAGGAATGAAGTTGCGAGGACAATGTCTATTGAATCGTTGAATCTCATGGGATACACCACAGTCACCTTATCAGCCTGTCAAAAGAATGTTTCATCATCTAATCCTAAAGATGCTTCCACAAAAATAACTAAGGGACCAATTAACAACACAAACATCAATCTTGTCAAGATGCAGCCAGAGACAACGTACCTTTTTAAAAATAATAAACAAAACCAAAACAAACTAGACTTTTCCAATTTCAAATTAAAATAAGTTTTATTTCTATTATTTCCCAACTCAAACCTAACAGCAACTATTGTTGCAGGTTTGCATAACACACAAAAAGTACTATTTCCTAATATATTTGCTACATGGTTAGTTGATTAAGGAAGTTTCATTGACACAGCAATGACATGGAATAAGATTAGGCATTTGATTCTGTCTGATGTAAAGCATGTTCTCTTTCAGAGGGATTTCCTAAAAGACATGCTGAGGATTTGGCACCTTTGCATTAGCAGACCCCAGTCAAAGACGCACCAATTGCTATTAGTTAGTTGTAACATTTAGTTAGATAGTTAGAAAGGGAGAGATGACAGGTATAAATGATACGAGAAAAAAAAGAGAGCAGCATTGGAATTGGGAGTCCAGGTTTCCCAAACACATGGGGAAATAGCAAGAGAATCATACTTCTGTATCTATTATGCATCCCCATGATATCAATCAGTGGTCATTCATTGCAGTGAAGATTGTTTGCTCTTTTATTTCATCTGTTTCAGTTCTATCAGTTGATTACAAAGCTCCCAATCCAGGGAATCCTTTCATATTACAAGAGCGTTGAGGCAAGAATGGAGTACTTGGAGAAATTTCACAGCTTAGAAGCATGAAGAGGAAGATAAGAAGCGAGTGTGGTGGGATATGGAACTTCAAAATCAAGAAGCACTGTTGAATATTGAAGACACTCTTGAAGAATTGCTTCAGAACTTCTAAGAAGGGAACCCAGTGAACACCTCTGGAGGAGGCAAAGCCACAGCCCACAAGTGTTGAACATTACAAAAATAAAGAAGAAACAAGATTAAGTGACAGGCCCAGAATAGAACTAAGAAAGGAAACCAGCAATAAGAAAGCAAAACCAAGGTGGAAAACACAGGAAGGTATTGCATGGTCAAATGTATTTACAGTTCATGGGTATTTGTGTCTAGGAAGCTGCATTCCTAGGGAATAGTCTCTGCTAAGTTTATCAAGAAAGAGTCTATATATGGAATATGTAAAATCCATGTACTACATTCAGCAAGAATGAAAAGTGCTGAATGAAAAGCTTTTCAATCTAAATTCTTTCTAAAAGGATTAGTTCTCTCTCTTAATCCCTCTATATTGAACAACAACAAAGTCTCATCCCACTTGGTGAGATGAAAGAGAAGATATTCACACTGAAAGTGAGAGAGATGGTAAGGTATAAATAATAGGAAGGAAAAAAGTGAGAGAAATCTTGGGAGTTTAGCGTCAAAGGGTTTTCAATTGAATAGGAGTAAGACAAAGTATATCCATTACAATTTTAGCAAGAAACAAGATAAAAAATGATTTAAAGTCTGTAATTGTAAACACATTGATGACATAGTGAAAATCTTTGGTCTGATAAGCAGAAAGTGAACAAGCATAAATCTTGGTTTGCATTCTTCTAAGCCTTCTCTCCTTAATTTCTGCAATTTGATTGTGTCTTGACATTATTCTTTGTGCGTTGACTCTGTTCTATGAAATTGCTGCATTATTACTCTGATATTTGACATTTAAATTCATTTTCACATCAATAGAAAAAGGATTTTCAAACTTTACTTTTAAAGATTCAAAGGTTATGATTTTAATTGCTAACGCAATTCAACTCCCCCTTCTTGAGTTGAAGCCATTTGACCAACAAAGCGAGAAGAAAGAAAATAGTATTATATACCAAACAAGTTTTTGTCCAGTGTGGTGGAAATACAAACTTAGCTTTTAGGATGAAATAGGTATCTCATAGTATGTGTGCCCTTTTCTCTCCCCTTTTATTTCTGAATAGGAGAGATTTTATTCATGTGTAGGTCCCATTATTTCTTTTCTTTCTCACCTCATTTCATCTAGTTCCAAACAAAAGAAGAGATTCTGATTTTCATGTTTTCTCTTCCTTGAATTTCTTTCTTCTCAAACTCTCCCCTACCAGACAGTGGAACTGTCGTACCATAAAATATAACTGCCTCATACAGAATTACTTGGTCTGTCTTTCATTTTTCCTACCATAAACCCTCAGTGGTCTCAGGAAATTTCCTCAGCTGACCCAACAGAACTTGGCCTATCATTTTCTTTGTTAATGCAAAGGGATTGGCAAGCTCTCTCTCTCTCTCTCTCTCTCTCTCTCTCTCTCTCTTCATACTCTCTTTCTTGCTTTTTGTTCTCTATCTAGTATCCTTTTAATAGACTGTCTTATTATCTTCCTTTGTATGTATCTTCTCTTTTCAAATAAAGTGCACTTACATTGTGCATATAAAATCTGACAGGAAAGTTGAGGAAACAGCATTTAAGCTACTAGCAAGTAAATTAATCCTGCATAGTGTTGTTATCAAACTACTCCTTAGTGTAGGAAGAAAAAAAGATGGAATAAAATATTTCCAAGCAGCAATAAAGGCTTAAAAGAAAGTTGCATTGCATCCACTAACTGACCTGATGAAAAAGAAAAAAAGACTCATTTGGCCGATGAACAAGGGCAACAAGTGGATCCATGTCTGGCACAACAGTTCTTGAAGCAAGATGTTCTAAAATTACTCTTAGCGGTGCACCAAGGACGACTTCCCTTACTGATGCAACTTTTACCAATAAAGCATGTCTTTGCTCTGCACAAGTTCAACATCCAACTGTCAAAGGACATCAACAACCAAATAATTGAATCCAGAAATCCCTTTTCTTTTCATACAACCAGAATTTTAAGTCAAGGCAGACTAGAACATAAGCATGAGTTATTCAAAAGTATAGTAGGAAAGAATATAATATAACTAATGAATAAAAATCTTATCTTTTTACTACGAGATGCTAATAAATAAAAAAATTATCCATGAACTTTATCAAAGCATAAGGCACATGACAAATTAAAACTAATTTTCTTTATTAATACAGCAGGAAAATTTGCATGAGCTGAATAATCTATTCCATGAGGAGATGAATAACCAACTATAAACAATCACCATAGTAATACACAATTGAGGAGAAATACACTTTTGTAGCCTTTGAACCTACATGTACTTGGGAGGATAAGAAATCCTCATTATAAGCAAAAAACACGACAACAAAGAAAAGAGATAGATAACCCAATGAAACAAATAGAAGTCAAATGGCTAATTTTATCCTAAATCAAGTGTTGTGCCACAGAAAAAAGACTGATGTTAGACAAAGGGCCACTTTATGTTGCATTTTTCTTTTAACCAAAAATCATTACTAAAAAAATTAGGATAATCAAACAAGCTGTTCTGAACCCCACCCCGGGGCAAGAGAAAGGTAGTTTTAGTGCTTTTCTGAGAAATTAGAAGTTAGAAAGAGTAGCTGATGAAAAGCAAGATAAATCATAGAAGTGTTCCTTTTTTAAAAGCTTGTCCAAACATACCCTAATTCCCTCCATTTTCATGATAGCATGCCCTCAAAAAATTGAACAAGGATGAGAATGAACGAAAATTCCAGTTTTAGAATCATCAATCATATCCCATTATTGTTTTTTATGAACTCCAACTACCAGCAATTTTACATGAGGTAAAATCTAGCATTTGGGCAACAGTAGAAGTTGGCAAATAAACCAACCTCACCTCCACTTTACAGTTTACAGAACCAACCTCTATATTTGAGATTTTCACCTCATGCATCCCTGAGTTAGCTCTTTCAAGCTCAATGGACAACAGACCATCAAGCTAGTGTAACAAACAAGGCATAATCATGAATTCACATGCTTTCTTGATTTTCTAGATTATTAGTCTAATTTGCTACTGCAATAACCGGAACCATAGTATACAATTTCTATTGAATCCTGTTAAAATTGGTGTTTCAGGAAGAGGGAGGAAAAACAGAGAATAGAGACTGAATACATGATATGAGATGAGTATTGGATGTGTAACAAAAAAACAAACATTAAGCTCTATTTATACTAATAGAAGACTTCTAATATTAATTAAATAAGGAAACAAATTATGAAATATGAAAAATATGAAATCTATTCCAAGAATATCATCAAAAATACTTTAAACAACTCTAAGATATTGTGATGATATTGAGATATCCTATAGAATATTCTAATAAACCACATAACAATGATAACATAATTCCAAAAGTGCCCCTGTCGAGGAACCATCCAATAAATCATTACTTTCTACTTGTATTGCATTAAAAAATAACATTTTCAACCAAGATTTCCAGCAAAATAGTATATAATCTCTTCCACCACCAAGCAGTAACCTTAGCAATCCACAGTCATATTCACATCAAATTACAATAAATCTTAACAAGATAGAGACAAATATACAGCACAAACTGATGGCTAATAAAACACTATAAGCGTCCATTGATAAGTTAACTTAAATGTGGTGAAGTCATCAAATAATCAAAAACCTGTGTACAAAGGAATCAAGGAAAGGGATCCCTATATGAATACGTGATGAAGAACAAAGTTTAATTTTTATTAGAATTTTATGCTAAACTTGGGAATTAGGATAATCTATTTTATTTGTAATTTTGAAATTGTGAAGTACGGTTCTTTTTATTACTCTTGCTGGATTAGAAATTTAGAATTACCCAGGAATGATCTTATAGGGCCATATATAACCACCAATTGTTCACTTATTGAGCTGAGAAAGCTTTCGCATTGATCAGAAGAGAACAATTTTTGGAGTTTACAATTATAGTTTTCCTTTAGGTTACACATTAAAACATTAAGATGAACCGAAACAGCAAATAAAAAATGTTCAAAATATAGACAATCCAAAGCATATGGTATATATGCTATTATACCATATTAATTAAATTACCCTATGGATTCAGACTCATACCCACATCCATTTTGAAAATTGTAACAATTAACCAAGTGGCTCAACTAAATTTATTTTAAAAAACCTAATTAATCTAAATATAAATAAATTCCTGAAACCAAACAAAGGTTCAAAGAATATAATCAAAATGTACACTAATCAATTGTCCTAATGCATAAAAAGTAGAGCAGCTAACAAATTCCGCTTAAGAGGAAAAACTTCTCATAGAAAGGGAAATGGAAAGTTACGATAACAACCTGTATAGAACACTTTGTACCTTGATTTGCAGGAAGTTTTGACAGATTTATTTTCAATGTGAGGTTAAAGCCATCTCTTGGAGGATCAAGAATTTGCACAAGATTACCGTATGCAGCTTTTATTGCTTCAATGGCTCCAAAAGGAAGTCCACAGACAAAAATAGTTTCTGAAGAAGGAGCTGGCAATGATACTGATAGCAACAAAACATGAGGATTTTTCATTGACACCTACAATCAGTTTTGCTTGGTCAATTTGCAACCCAAAACTGTCAAAAACCTACTTATATTTAACAAAAACAATATAGAGTTAAATTTAGCCAGCAATGTTATGGAATCAAAGGTAGTCATCCAAATATTTTCTATGATAACTGCCTACATCAAAAATGTTGTTACCTGAATATGATATCGAACATCATCAAACTCAACCCAGTGGTGATCCAGTTCAACTCCTTTTTCAAGACTGAAGCAGAAATCAACATTGAAATTGTGAGACAAATCATTAAAGCAGAAGTTTAGGTAAATATCACTTTGCTCAATTAGAAAAAGGAAAAAAATCAATTCACATAACGACACATAATGGAGTTTAAAAGGTGGTCTCTTTGGCTCGAAGTACATATTACCATCAACTGTATAAGAAATGTTTTTTGTACCACCCAAATTTATAGTTAGGATGTATTTTTGGGATACATGTATATAGAAAAGATAAAATGCAAGTCAGAGAACTTGGAAATACTAAAATTCTTTTCTTATTTCAATACATTAAAATTTACATGTATATATAAGAGTCTAATCCTAATATTTACATGAGAGAATATCCTAGAATATCCTCTAATAATCTTAGAGATAATAACAAATAATTAAAGAAATAATATAATAAATATTTACAATAAATCATAATAATGTTATTATTTTCAATACTCCCCCTCAATCTTGAAACTGCTCAGCTGCCAATCCCTCAATGAACATACCTACTAGTTGATCACGAGAAGGGACATAAGTGGTAGCTATGAAACCACTATCCAATTCCTCTTTAATGAAATGCCGATCAATCTTTATATGGAACCTGCATAGTCAGATCTGTATATATTTTCAAAGAGTGTCTCTCCCTTTTTCAAGAGCATGCCTCATCCAAGACATCCTTTCAGATATTGGAGGATGAGGATCTTGTTCACTGCTTGTAAAAGTCTTTCATGTGAATCATGCATGAATTGACTAACGATGCTAACAGCATATGCAATGTTAGGTCTAGTATGAGATAGATAGATTAGCTTTACCACTAGCCTTTTGTATTGAGCTTTGTCTACGGTTGTTTTGTCTAAAGCTCTCCTCTCTTCCTATCTGGTTGTTTTGTTCTATAGGGATGCTAGTAGTTTTGCAACCTAGTTTTCCCGTCTCCCTAAGAAGATCGCATATTTTCTGAGAGAAAAAAAATTCCATGTTAAGAGTAGGTCACCTCAATTCCTAGGAAATACTTGAGTTTTCATAGATCCTTCACCTCAAACTAAGAAACTAATTTCCCCTTCAAGCTCTGTTTTTCAATTTCTTCATCACCTACAATGATCATGTCATCCACATAAACTAACAAAAAGTTAGTTTATCACCATCTTGCAAGTGTTTTATGAAAAAAGTATGATCACCCTGACTTTGCCTGTATCCTAAGGACACCATAGCCTAAGTAAACCTCCCAAACCAAACACGAGGAAACTGTTTAAGTCCATATAAAGCTTTCTTCAATCTACATACCTTGTTTCCGCCATCAATGGTGTCGTACCCTAAGTAAGGAATATTTATAGACACTTCCTCCTCTAAGTCTCCATGTAGGAAGACATTTTTTACATCAAATTGGTGCAACCTCCAACCATAGTATGTTTCCACTAAAAGGATAGTCAATTCATTTTTGCCATTGGTGCAAAGTCTCTTCATAGTCAATTTCATTGGTGCAAAGTCTCTTTATAGTCAATTCCATAGGTTTAAGTGTATCTTTTTGCAACTAGTCTAGCCTTGTACTAATCAAGCATACCACCTAATCAATATTTAATTGTGTAGATCCACTTGTAATCCACCGTTTTCTTGTCCTTAGGTCACTCTACAATCTCTTAAGTGACATTTTTTTCTAGTGCATCCATCTCTTCATTCATAGCTTGAACTCAATTCTCATCCTTTAAGGCTTCCAATACTATCTTCGGGATATTTTAAGAACTCAATTCTCAAATATTCCTGTTGACCTTCGTCCTCCATAAGGACCAATTTGGTGAAAATTTAGATCTTTTCCCCCAAATGTTCAACCTATCACCAAATTAGACACTCAGAGATTATCCCCTTTTTTTCCAACACTTTAGTCTTTCATAAAGACCAATAGTGCAACATTTTGGATCTTTAAGGTACTAATTTGGTTTATACTAAATACTTGAAAGACAAATTTGATGACAAAATCTTTAAAGGACTAATATGGTGACAATTTAAACGTAGAAATTAATTTGGTAACCCAATTTTTTTTGGAAGACATATAACTTTGGAGGATCAAAGTAAAGGCTCTATCTGTGTGCATTTGTCTGAAACAGAACTTTGGAAGACCTAATTGCAAGTTCTCTCTTTCTCTATATATGTGTGTGTGTGTGTGTGCGCGCGCGCGCCTAGCCAAATTCAAGTTATGGCTTCTGCATACTTTCTTGGGAAAATTACAAATTAGCACCTTGAGGTTTGGGTCAAGTAGTCTCTGAAGTTTAAAAAGGAGCATTTCGTCCTTTAAGGTTTTCAATATCTGTAAAATAACATATCTATGCAAATTCAATTTAGTACCTAAAATTTGAATCGTGTGATTTAGAATTTTAGACCCTAAATTGCAATTTTCAAAAGGTTAGGATTAGGGACTAAATCACATAATTCAAACTTCAGAGTGCTAATTTACATTTTTATATGGATAATTTTAGAAATGAATTAACAGAGGGTTTATTATGCACATATTGAAAACCTTAAAGTCAAAATACCCCTTTTTAATGTTCAAATGAACCAAAACTCAAGGTACTTATTTGCAGTTTGCCCTACTTTCTTCTCTAAACCTAATAACAAGGTTTTAGAGCCCTGGCTCCTAAAGGTGACTTTCCTCATTCTTTGATATGCCGAGTTCTGAATTAGGCAGTTACAATATTGTATTAGTAAGTTATTAAGCAATTTTATATTAATTTTGTATTTGGCAGTAATAGTTTATGGTGTGACAAACTTGTAGAAGGGAATTGAGATGTCAGATTGTTAGTTGTGCCATCCTGCTCTCCTTTCTTCTCTCTCTGGTGTGCAGCAGGGTTGATGTCTTTAGGAGCAAGCCAAGAGAGTCACGCATTTGGAGGGAGATACGCAACACTATGAAGCCACTTTAGGAGCATTCTACATCATTCTCTCCATCTCCATCAGTATTCTTTTCTAAGCAAGGCAGGGCAAAACAAATCTTTTTGTTGAGAGGTATAGACGGTTGTACAGCTTGGTTTAGGGTGGTAGCAATTGAAAAGAAAGTAGGGACGGGGGTTCTCTTTTCTAATACAAGAATCACAGAAAGAAAATCAAATGACAAATTATTTTTTATGGAAAAGCACCTCATTGTTGACTGAGCCCAAATCCTGAACTCCATGGAATTAGTAAACACGTTACATAACTTGTTCAATGTTCACAAGCCGATAACAGGTTTGTTTCAGGCAGTACAGAAAGTGAGAATTTGACTTCAACATTATGTATGGCCACAAAATACAACCTACTAAAACTCAACAGCAATTTAAATCCTCGATTTCGCATTTGACAAAGCGATTATGTTCCAACAAGCCAAAGTCATTTTGATAATGATATATATAGAAGAGAAATGAAGAAGAAGTGAAGAATGGGAACGTACTTCTGAGCCCGATTCAACAAGGTGTGGAGCAAGAATCTTGAATGAGACTGCAAGAGTATCATGGATCCCTCTGGCGCGGTTGCGAGATCGACGAGAGGGACTGATTCTTTTCTTCCTGATTCCGATTCACAACACAACAAACCAATTTCAATATCATACGTTTCCGTTCATTCCTTCTCCTCCTCCTATCATGCCCTATTATTGTCATTATTACTATTAGTATTTCCATGTACCCGTTTAATATTTTTAAATCTCAAGCCAAAAATCTTTAATAAAAACTGAACATTCACTATACACAAAAACAATGTTAAAAATCAATATTTTATTCATCTATAATTTTGTGTAATTCGATTCAATATAATAAAATATTTGTCATTAATAATTATAATATTTATCTTTTAGTATATAAAATTTACTAAATTAAAAATTATTCATACTATGTATTTTAATTATTTAATAATTGTGCCAAAAAATTCTTTCAGGCAATAGAATACTTATTTTTAATAATTATAATATTTTCTATTTTTAAATGTATAAATTTTATTATATTCAAAATTTTCCATAGGATATATTTAAATTATTCATTAAAAATATTTCAATTTAATGAAACACATACAGTTCAAGGAAAAAAACTAGTAAATAACAAATTTAATTAAACAATCAATCATAAATTTGTTTCTAATTTTACTTAATATAATAGAATATTTATATGTAAAATTATTCATAACAATCTATTTTTAATTACTTATTACAAATTAATTTAATTTAATAATACTAGGGCAATACACAAAAAATTCAACCTCTATGTATAATTTTTAAGATTATTTTCAAATGCAAGTATTTTTTAAAATTATTTCTTTTCTCCTAAAATCAAGTGATTTTATTCTATCTTATACATTTAATTTTAATTCAATATTAAATCTTTATTTTTTAAAATTTTATTTCATATAATAGAATATTTATCATTAACAATTATAACATTTATTCTTTTTTAAAAGCATAAATTTATTAAATTTGAAATTTAACATACAATATATTTATAATCATTTTTAAAAAATATTTTTATTTAATAGTACCATTTAATTCACACAAAAAAATGCTTGCAAATAACAAATTTAAACAATATGCCTTCTACATATAATTTGTGAGCATTAATTTTTGAAGCAATATGTCTTCAGAAATATCTAAGTATTTTTTAGAAATTACTTCTTTTCTCATGATATCAAGTAGTTCTTTTCTGTTTTATATGTTTATTTTTTATTCAATATTATTTAAATTTTTTATTTTATAATTTTTAAATTTGATTTCATATAATAGAATTTTTATTATTAATAATAATAAATTTATTTTTTGTAAATTTTTTAATTTTAAAATTAGTAATACAATATGTTTTTAATTATTTGTTAAAAAATATTTTAATTTAAATGATACTCATGCTATTACAAGTAAATAACAAACTTAAACAATATATGGCTATAAACTTTAAAAAAAAAAAAACCGTTAGAAATAACTAAATCTACTCCAAAATATGAGTACTAATAATCACCATTCACACAGTGAAATAAAATATTAAATTAAATCATTTCATCTCAACATATTTTTATAATTTAAATATTGATCATGCATGAATTAAAATTAAAAGGTTAAAATATATTACTTTTAATTTTATTTTTTTAAATCTTGCATATAATACGCCAAATGAAAGAATAATTTGACTTGGAAAATTTGAAAACTTAATAGTCCCTCAAAATTTTATATTTATTTAATTTAATTTTTTTTATACGTCACAGATGCATGATTTTGCTAAATAAAATAAAAAATTATTTTTTTATAGGAATTGTGTTGTTGAATGTCGAATCATTGAATATATCTAAGCATACTTAATTAAAAAATGAAATTATGATAAATAGAAAAAAAGAAAAGAAAAAATGAGAGTTAAAAAACAAAATTAAGTTAAATTAAATTGGATAGAATCAAATTATAAGAAATTTTTAAGAATTAATTTTATTATAAATTAGAATTAATTAACTTATCAAAATAGATTCTTTGCTAATTTTTATTTATTTATGTTTATATGGGCATAAGAATTTGAAAGAGCTTATGAAAAAATAATTACGATTCTTATAACACTTCAAATTTCTTTCACTCTATAAATTATTATTAAATTATATTAATTTTATTGAATAAGAAATAAGCATAGAAACTTTAAAACTAAAATTTTCTTTAATAAAATTTACTGAAACGGATCTAATCAGTAAAAAATATGATAATATAAAAAGAAAATAAATATCTAAAAATTTTATTTAATAATTTTAAAATATCTAACATAGTTTTATATGAATTATAAGAAGTTTAGAAAGAACTAAAAATATAAAATAAATAAATATAAAAAATTTGACTAAAATGACCTAAATATCTAGAATGGAGGCCCATTTTGGAGAAGCAAACAAATGAGATAAATTCTGAAATTTTTATGGTAAGTTATTGGACCAAATATAGACATTTAAGAAGCAAACCAAAAATCGAAGTACAAAACTCAAACCATATTCCTCAAAAATAGCTCATATATAATATGGAAAATGGCCCATTTTGTGTCAAAAATTTGCAAAATTTGTAACATACTCAATCCAATTCAATTTTTATATTTTTTTGGGTTGAAAGAGAAGCCAATTGACCAGTAATTAAAGTATGGAAGAAGTTGGAATTAAGTAACCAATAAGAAAGGAAGGCAAGTCAAGCAAGTCAAGGTTTCATGATTAAGAATTTGAATAGTGTAAGATTCAATTTTCATCCAATGTTGAACTTAGGGACTTTGACTACCCTAGCCAAATGGGACTAGAAGATACACTCTAAAGCAACTACAAGAATTAGAAAGCAACCATGAGGATTTGAGTACAATTGGATAGGGAATCTAAAGACAAGAGTCATAATGGAGGGTAATTTTGGCATTAGGAAAGATTGTTATGTGTAGGCTTAAAATACTTCTACAATAAGTCTCACACGATGAACCCCCACCAAGTTGAATCATCCATCAAGTTACTGTCAAGGTCCTAAAGTAGACACTGAATTCTACAAAATCCACAAGGCAATCAACTTTCTTGATGGAGGCCTTGATCATGTAGAAGAGGAGACCAAATGAGGTGGAAGATCATTTTCAAGAGGAGAAAAAGAGAAAGAGAAAGAGAGAGAGAATTTCATAAAGATCAAGCTAAGATAAACCAAAAATCAAGTAAGGGGGTGTATTATTTCATAAATTAAGGGAATAATTTGTTAAATGAATTTTTGAGTCAAAGGGAAGTCTTTAACCCTTTTTATACGATGAAAATTCTGTATTGAAAAAAATACACAAGAAAAGCACTAAAATCGCAAAAACAGGAAGTTTTGCAGAAAAATCGAAATTAACTGTAAAATAGTATTTTAATGGATTTTGTTAATGACTTTGTTTGCTATGTGTTATTTTCATGAATCAATGATATATTCATGTGTATTTATGCTTTGGAAATTGATTAGATGGACATTGAGAAATTTCTACTAATTTGCATATTTACTATCATGGAATAAATATGGATTTTCTATAAAAATTGTTTCTAAGTATGTATTCTAAATTTTTTTTCTTTTATCCATGTTATGTGACTTGATATTTGAGTATACTTAAGTGAGATCTATGATTTTCTCTTTGGTTTGGATTATATTAGAGTTAAAAAAGTATTTTTAGAACATTATTGAAGATTTTCACATGAAACTTTAATAAGAAATGGACTAAAAATGGAAAATGACTATGAGGAGGACCTATGAAACCTTGGACATATTTGGAATCTCTAGAATATATGAGAAATATGATGAGAACAAAGATCTAAGAACAAATTTGGAAGATTGAACCTTAACATGATGATGGACTATGATTTTGTATCCAAATTATACCTTAAAAGTGGCACTTGACCACATATGTAGTAGAACTAAGAGAATATTTTAAAACTTGTGAAGACATGATTCAAGACCCATAAACTGATTAGAAATGTTCTGGACTATCTAAGAATTACCAAAAATTGAGAAAAGGACTTTTTTGCAATTAACATAAAGTAAAAAGACTAAACTATAAATAATATAAAATATGAGAAAACTTTTGCAAAAATTTTTGTTAGCATTTTATTCATGTAGATAGTTAAATTTTGAAAAATTTTCCACTAGTTTTACTTCATGTGTATTTAAATTGAATTAATTATGATTTTCCTAAGTTTTTGCTACATGAAAATAGTATTATACAAGTAGTATGCTTTGATTCAATTTCATTTTAATATCTCTGTGTGGCATTATTTTATCTCTATTTTTGTATGAAAATATACTTCTAAATGGAACTTTTTTCACTAGTTTAACTTGATTTGGATTTGAAACAAAATAGATATGAATTTTTGAATATTATGATATGTGTAAATGATTTTTTGAGAACAACTCACTATAAATTCTTTTTTTCTTAAATTTCATGCATGATATTATTTTATTTATATTTATATACAAAATTAGACTTCATAAGTAAAATATGCTCACTGAGTTTGCTCAAATTGGAGTTAAAATAAAATATTTATAATTTTCTAAAGATGTTGTATTTTGGAAGGGTTTGAATTTTGATTGTAACTTTACAGTAGACATTTAAAGGAAGAAAAATTTGGTGATTTCATGATGTTTGGACTTGTATTGAATTAGATATGAATTTTATAATTTGCTTCCTGAAATCTGAAAAATTCTTATTGTTAGTCATGTCCATATGGTTGATGTCACACCCCAAAATTTCTTACTTCTAAGTTAATTACTAATTGTATCAATTTAAATAAATTAGAATTAGATCATGTATAAAGTTAGGAATTAAAACACACTTAGTTGAATTTACCCGAAAAATAAACGAATTAAGGAAAAAATCAAGTAACAAATTATAGTGTAATCCAATTTTAATATGAATTATTACCTAAAAAAATTTAATAATTTTATACCATCATAATCATGTATTACAAAATTTAAAATCAATTGGGAGAGAATAAAAATAGAAAATTAAAAATAAGTTACAAAATTGGCCAAAAAGACCAAAATATCCCTAGAATAAAGACCTAAGGTGGATAAGGAAATGAAAATGAAAAATTATAAAAATTTTATAAAAAATTGTTGGGCCAAATGTGGTTGTATTCGTTCAAGAACCAGATCCAAA